GGGATGCTGGGGAAACAGAGGAGATGGGATGCTGGGGAAACAGAGGGGAAGGGGTGCTGGGGAGACAGAAAAGATGGGATGCTGGGGAAACAGAAGAGGAGATTCTGGGGAAACAGAGGAGAAGGGATGCTGGGGAAACAGAGGGGAAGGGGTGCTGGGGAGACAGAAAAGATGGGATGCTGGGCAAACAGAAGAGGGGATGCTGGGGAAACAGAAAAGATGGGATGCTCCCTTTCCTATCTTTCCTTCCTTTCTCTCCCCCTCCTCTCATCTTCTCAATCTTTCTCTTTCTGCTTTTCAGTTCTCATTGATGAATCTCTTACTTGTGCTCTGTGTGCAAAGAATACCAGGATTCTTCCCAAAGGTGACAAAACTGTTTGTTCTGTCACAAAAGAGCCACCTACCAGAGGCCTGACAAGAAGTGAATGGGTCTCTGTAAGGCTGTGGTGTCTGGGAGTCAGGCTAGAGGGAGGAGGCCCTTAGATGGCCTGAGAGAGAAATAGGAGACTGCCCAGTCTGGCTGGGGAGCATCTCTGTGGAAAAGTGACCTGCCCCAGTCACTTCCCTGCTGCTTACCACTGTCCTCTGGCCAAGTCCACACTCTTCCTTCGAGGTTGAGAGGAAGTCTAGAACCCAGAGAAGACTCAAAACTTTTACTTCATCACAGGAGACAGATATTTAAGCTGAATTATCTGCATTTACAAAGAATAAGAGCTTTGAGCATCTGTGGTGAGCTTGGCAGCGATAGGGTGTCAGGAACTCCTTAAGGAGTGAATGGAGATTTCTCACCAAAATGTGCTTTGTTTAGCCAGAGAAATGTTTAAATGAGAGTGTCCCTCAGTGGATGGCTTTGAGTATCTGCCAAGCACTGACTGACTTGGTTGGTGACAGTGGATTGGATGAGGCTCCTGAAGGTCATGGCTCTTCAGTGGGTCACACGCTCATTCTTAGATATCTAGAGACATGAACCAACATTTCTGAAGATTAACTGCTTAGCTTTTACATCCCAACTCACCCTGCCTGCTCAAAGACAGATGGTCTTCTTCATCTACTCCCTCCTGGGTGGTGTATCTTGCTGGTCTAGGCATTAAGCTAAAAAAATTAGGGGTGCTGGCTGATTCTCTCGCAGATCTGGTCTGTTGCCTCCCCCACACCCCAGAGGTGTTGGGGGCAGACATGACTTGTTTGGGTTCTTGTCCTTCCACCCTTGAGCTGTGTCAACTCTGACGTCATTTTGATCTGACAGACTGGCACTGTTGGGGGGTAGTAGGATCTTTAAGAGGAGTGGCCTCCTGGGAGATCCGCAGGTCATTGGAGATGTACTCTTGAAGGCCTCTGTCCTTCCACTAGAAGGAAGGGAAATGCAGCCTCTACCACATGTCACGTGATGTGCTCCAGCCACAACATCTGCCTTGTCATAGATCTGAAAGCAACAGGGCCACTAACTCAGGACTGGAACCCCCCAAGCTATGAGCCTGAAGAAGCCTTTTCTCTTCTGTACGCTGGTCACTCCGGTGTGTGGCTACAGTGACAGACTCTGACTAACACACGTTGGAAGATGGTCCTTAGTATTGCATATGGTCTCCCCTGGTTTATGTGGCATCTTGTTCAGAAACACAGAGTTCAGGGGTCAAACAGGATGTGAGCTTCCCCTTTTTGTCATTTTTTTCTATTTTAATTTATTTCCACCTTCAGATTGTATCTTTCTGGTTTGGCTCCATCTGTTACACAGTTGGAAACATGGAAAGTGTTCAGGGGAAGAGCTGTGTCTTGGAACAGCAGGATCCTTCTTGCTCACGACCTCTCTGGGACCACCCTACTTTCTTCCCAGCATCCTCTGTGTCTTCTACAGCTGTTTTCTATTTAATCTGGTATTTACCATTGTTGTCCACAGAACAGTTTGCCAACACAAGCTGTTCCCCTATTGGGGGCTGGAACCTGTGATTTAATTCAAAAGACAGATGGAGCACAGACTCTACATCGAGTCTTGACTGAGACCATCTGGGTGTATATCCCTGCCTGCCATGTTTGGTTCTGGGGCCCTGGCCACTCTTTCTTAATTCTAATGTTCTCGGCTTCGAAGTAGAGGGGTGGTCATCTGTAAGGCACAAAAGCCGCTGTGCAGATGAGTAAACGGATGCATGTGTATCTCCTGGGATACATCCTCTAGGATGTCGGGGCAGCCCTGGGGACTGCCTCCTGCCCGTCACCATCCACTGGGCAAGGCCTCCTTTTCTACTACAGACAGAAAACAACAACAAAGTCCATCTCTGTCTTTAGCTGCTCTTCTAACTGAATTCTGAAACGAAAGGTTGATTAATTGTCGCACTGAAGTTATGGCATTTACCTGATTAACCCAGCACACTCCACTGCAGATAAATGAGTGTGTACGTGTGCGTGCATGCATGTGTGTGTATTTATTCATACATATATACACATAAATACATATATACATATACATACATAAACATATGTGTGTGTGTTTGTGTGTGTGTGCCCAAGGACATCTAATTCACAGTATAGATAGCTCAGGAGTTCTCTTTCTGAAAACTAAGGTTTACTTTTGACTTAAAGGCATATTGAATGAGCTCCTCTCTTCAAAACGCACATTAAAAGCCCTCCAAGCTGACAGTTTATAATCAACACACCAGAGAGAAAGGAGGCACTGTGTTTTCCTGCCTCATTTACTTTCAAAAACAGAATCAAGGTAATGTGTTTTGAATTCCATTATCTCACTGTCAGCTGTGGGATTGCATTTCTTCCTCCCTAGACAGGCATCCCCCCCCCCCCCCCCGTTTGGACTGAACTTGAAGGTGAAATGACTTACTACATTGTGATAGCAAGCTCCCAATCTAACCTGACAAGGTAAAGGGAGGGGAGAGGAAATGTTCTGAAGTGTAGAGAGCAGATTTGTCCACCCAGAAACCAATATGAAATGCTTCATGTCGGATTGGGTTGTGTGATGGATGAGACTGGAGATTGTGATAATGAGTGAAATCAGTCAGAGCAGAAAGACAAGAACCACATGCCTTCTTCCATGCATAGAACCCTAGATCTAAAATGTTACACACACACACACACACACACACACACACACACACACACACACACACACACAAAGGAGGGGGGAGAATTGTGCATTTATTTATTTTTATTTTTAAAAGATTAAAAACTTTAATTATGAGTGTGCGTGTTTGTATAATTTTGGGGAGGGGTTGTGTGCACACGAGTGCAGGTGTGCTTGGAGGCCAGAAGAGGACATTGGGCCCACTGTAGCTGGAGTTATAGGTGATTGTACATAACCTGACATGGGTGTTGGGCACTGAACTTCATCCTCTGCAAGAGCAGCAAGTGCTCTTAATGACTGAGCCAGCTCTCCAGCCACACGTGTGTATTTACGTGTGTACATGAGCGTCTCGTGACATTAGAGAGGAAATTGTGTGAGGGGAGGAAGAGATCTCAGGAGGTGAGAGACTGATGGGATTCATGTAGAAGCAGAAACTGTCTGGGGGGGAAAAAGCAGAGTGGGCGGGGCATGGGAGAGGGCAGTCGGGGAGGCAAATGATTGAAAACAAAGTGTAATGACACATGTCTGAAAATATCTTAATGAAACACATTCTGTTACATTAATAAAAAGATTTTTTTAATAAAGAACAAAAGAAAAAACTCTTAGGAAGTGACACTGATGGGAGAGGTCGCAGTCACACATAGCTTGACTGTGGGGATGTTTTGAGTAATAATTTGTTAGCTGATTGTATTACTTAGTGGACATTGCATCCTGTGTTTACACAACTGTGTCTAAGCAGTTTAATCTTACAGGGCCATCCCGGCCTAGGTGGCTCATCCTTGAACAACATATCACTGTGTGGTATGTGACTGCCCGAATCTTTGCGCTCTCCATGCTGTGGGAGGGGAGAGCCGGGGAGGAGGGAAGTGTATTCCTGCTCCGCCATGACTGGCTCAGTAGGGAGCAGAATCTGTTCGTTCTGTGCGCAAATGGTTGAAGATGCTGAGTGAAGAGATCTCTCCTATTTCTTGCCTGCAAAATTAGAAGCTGACTTCTGGAGGAGGCCAGGCTGTTGGGTGCAGATGGTGCCAACTGAACACCAGGAGGG